TGCCAGGTCTCTAGCCACATGGACATGACCTCAAACTAGCAGAATGAAAGTTCAATACCAATCTTAGAAGATATGATTTTACTGAAAGAGTCTTGGAATAGATGTCCAGCAGAGGCATGGAGTCACTCATAGATACGGAAGGACTCCAAGCATGCTTTCATGTGTTTTGCACTGAGGAGAGGCTTCCGTCTAGCCACTCTGCCATAAAGCCCAGATTGGTGGAGAGCTGCAGTAATGGTTGTCCTTTTGGAACTCCATGCAGGATCTCTCGAGTTCAGTCAGAGTGACCATCAAGCCACAAGGCCCTTCTTCCTCGATTGCTCAGTTTAGCCAGGCGACCAGCTCTTGGAAGAGTTTTGAGCATTATGGAGACCAGTGGCTCTTGGGAACCTACTGGGAAGCAGAAATGTTTTCGTAGCCTTCCCCAGATCTGTGCCTTGCAATATTCCTGTCTCTGAGCTCTGCAGGCAGTTCCTCATGGCTTTTCCTCTGATACAGTATGCGTTGTCAGCTGTGAGGCCTTTCATAGAGAGGTGTGTGCCTTTCCAAAGCATTTCCAAACAATGTAATCTACCACAGGTGGACTCCAATCAAGGTGCAGAAACATCTCAGCAAAGATCTAGAGAAATGGGAGGCACCTGAGCTAAATTTCAAACGTTGTTGCAAAGGGTCTGAACACTTCTACCAATGTGATAGTTCAGTTTTCCCTTTTGTATACATTTGTAAATATTTCTAAAATTATGTTTCCCTTATGGGGAACTGAGTGTAAAGTAATGAGAAAAAAAAAAAAGTAAACAACTGTCAGGTATGTGAAGAAACATGCGGGTGCCGTTCCAAGCCAGGATACAAAAGAAGATTACCCCACCGGTTTTGCAAAGAGGGAGCCGGCATCCCAGTGTGCCACCAGAAGTTGGAGTCATGTAGGGATACAGACGCCGCTCGACCATCCCGAGGAGTCCTGATAAATGTGTAGGGTGGCCTCAGCCACCACTTTCGCAAAGAGGGATCTGGCGTCCCAGTGTGCCACCAGAAGCTCGAGTCATGTAGGGACACAGATGCCGCTCGACTGTCCCAAGGAGTTCTGAGAAATGTGTAGGATGGCCTCAGCCACCACTTTTGCAAAGAGGGATCTGGCATCCCAGTGTGCCACCAGAAGTTGGAGTCATGTAGGGATACAGACGCCGCTCGACCGTCCCGAGGAGTCCTGATAAATGTGTAGGGTGGCCTCAGCCACCACTTTTGCAAAGAGGGATCCGGCATCCCAGTGTGCCACCAGAAGCTTGAGTCATGTAGGGATACAGACATCGCTCGACTGGCCCGAGAAGTACTGATAAATGTGTAGGATGGCCTCAGCCACCACTTTCACAAAGCGGGATCTGGCATCCCAGTGTGCCACCAGAAGTTCGAGTCATGTAGGGATAAAGACGCCTCTCGACTGTCCCAAGGAGCACTGATAAATGTGTAGGGTGTACTCAGCCACCACTTTCACACAGAGGAATCCGGCATCCCAATGTGCCACTAGAAGCTCGAGTCATGTAGGGATACAGACGCCCCTCGACCGTCCCAAGGAATCCGGATAAATTTGTAGGATGTCCTCAGCCGCCAATCTGGCCAAGCCCTCTGACGTGTTTTGCCCTGGCCATCGCGACCTCTGTGACCAAGCCCTGTCAGGTATCTGAAGAGAATGTGCGGTGCTGTTCCAAGCCAGGATAAAAAAGAAGATTACCCCACCGGTTTCGCAAAGAGGGAGCCGGCATCCCAGTGTGCCACCAGAAGCTGGAGTCATGTACGGATACAGACGCCGCTCGACCGTCCCGAGGAGTCCTGATAAATGTGTAGGGTGGCCTCAGCCACCACTTTCGCAAAGAGGGATCTGGCATCCCAGTGTGCCACTAGAAGCTCAAATCATGTAGGGATACAGACGCCGCTCGACCATCCCCCGAGGAGTCCTGAGGAATGTGTAGGATGGCTTCAGCCACCACTTTTGCAAAGAGGGATCTGGCATCCCAGTGTGCCACCAGAAGCTCGAGTCATGTAGGGATAAAGACGCCGCTCGACCGTCCCAAGGAGCCCTGATAAATGTGTAGGGTGGCCTCAGCCACCACTTTCGCAAAGAGGGATCCGGCATCCCAGTGTGCCACCAGAAGCTCGAGTCATGTAGGGATACAGACGGCGCTCGACCGTCCCGAGGAGTACTGATAAATGTGTACAGTGGCCTCAGCCACCAATTTCACAAAGAGGGATCTGGCATCCCAGTGTGCCACCAGGAGCTCGAGTCATGTAGGGTTAGACGCTGCTCGACCGTCCCGAGGAGTCCTGATAAATGTGTAGGGTGGCCTCAGCCACCACTTTTGCAAAGAGGGATCCGGCATCAAAGTGTGCCACCAGAAGTTCGAGTCATGTAGGGATACATACGCTGCTCGACTGGCCCGAGAAGTCCGGATAAATGTGTAGGGTGGCCTCAGCCATCACTTTCGCACAGAGGGATCCGGCATCCCAGTGTGTCACCAGAAGCTCGAGTCATGTAGGGATACAGACGCCGCTCGACTGTCCCAAGGGGTCCGGATAAATTTGTAGGATGTCCTCAGCCGCCAATCTGGCTAAGCCCTCTGACATGTTTTGCCCTGGCCATCGCGACTTCTGTGACCAAGCCCTGTCAGGTATGTGAAGAGAACGTGCGGTGCCGTTCCAAGCCAGGATACAAAAGAAGATTACCCCACCGGTTTCGCAAAGAGGGAGCCCTCATCCCAGTGTGCCACCAGAAGCTGGAGTCATGTAGGGATACAGACGCCACTCGACCGCCCGAGGAGTCCTGAGAAATGTGTAGGATGGCCTCAGCCACCACTTTTGCAAAGAGGGATCTGGCATCCCAGTGTGCCACCAGAAGCTCGAGTCATGTAGGGATAAAGACGCCGCTCAACCGTCCCAAGGAGCCCTGATAAATGTGTAGGGTGGCCTCAGCCACCAATTTCGCAAAGAGGGATCCGGCATCCCAGTGTGTCACCAGAAGCTTGAGTCATGTAGGGATACAGACGGCGCTCGACCGTCCCGAGGAGTACTGATAAATGTGTAGGGTGGCCTCAGCCACCACTTTCACAAAGAGGAATCCAGCATCCCAGTGTGCCACCAGAAGCTCGAGTCATGTAGGGATACAGACGCCACTCGACCGTCCAAAGGAGTCCTGATAAATGTGTAGGGTGGCCTCAGCCACCACTTTTGCAAAGAGGGATCCGGCATCCCAGTGTGCCACCAGAAGCTGGAGTCATGTAGGGATACATACGCTGCTCGACTGGCCCGAGAAGTCCGGATAAATGTGTAGGATGGCCTCAGCCGCCAATCTGGCCAAGCCCTCTGATGTGTTTTGCCCTGGCCATCGCGACCTCTGTGACCAAGCCCTGTCAGGTATCTGAAGAGAACGTGCGGTGCCGTTACAAGCCAGGATAAAAAAGAAGATTACCCCACCGGTTTCGCAAAGAGGGAGCCGGCATCCCAGTGTGCCACCAGAAGCTGGAGTCATGTACGGATACAGACGCCGCTCGACCGTCCCGAGGAGTCCTGATAAATGTGTAGGGTGGCCTCAGCCACCACTTTCGCAAAGAGGGATCTGGCATCCCAGTGTGCCACTAGAAGCTCAAATCATGTAGGGATACAGACGCCGCTCGACCATCCCGAGGAGTCCCGAGGAATGTGTAGGATGGCTTCAGCCACCACTTTTGCAAAGAGGGATCTGGCATCCCAGTGTGCCACCAGAAGCTCGAGTCATGTAGGGATACATACGCTGCTCGACTGGCCCGAGAAGTCCGGATAAATGTGTAGGATGGCCTCAGCCGCCAATCTGGCCAAGACCTCTGACGTGTTTTGCCCTGCCCATTGTGACCTCTGTGACCAAGCCCCGTTGATGGGGCTAAAGGAACTCTTGGGAATTGAACCCTTAGGTTCTGCCCGCTGCTTTGTGCTTCACCCTGTCAGGAATGGACTGGCCAGCAATGGTGGGACTCACCTGCCTTTTGATCTGCAGTACCAGGGCTGGCCAGCGGGTGCTCCCAGCAATCAGAGACTCAACCTTTCAGCCAGCTATTATTATTATACAGTATTTATTATACTGTGATTTCCGATGATCTCCGACGGGGAGGAGAACTGTTTTTTTTACTAATAGTTCTCCTCCATGTCAGCTCGGGCACACTGCTTTGGATGGCTTGGATGTTCATGCCGACGACACCCAAATTTACCTCCCTCTTCACCCCCCACCTCACCCCCTCAATCTCTGCCCGCATCGCCCACCTCCTAAACGACATATCAGACTGGATGTCGCTCCATTTCCTCAAACTTAACCTATCCAAAACCGAGCTCCTGGTCTTCCCCCCCACCCCCCCATCCTCTCCATCACTACCAACAACGCCACCATCTCTCCCACCCCACACGCCAAAGTCCTGGGTGTCACCCTGGACTCCCACCTCTCCTTCCTACCCCATATCCAAATGCTATCTAGATCTTGCAGGCTCCACCTCTGCAACATTTCCAAGATACGTACATTCCTCACCCCAGACACTACTAAACAACTCGTACACTCCCTCATCATCTCACGCCTGGACTACTGCAACTCCCTTCTCACTGGCCTACCCAAACGAAAGCTATCCCCACTCCAGTCGATCCTAAACTCAGCGGCTAGACTCATCCACCTCACCAACCGCTTCACATCTGCCTCCCCCCTCTGCTAACTCTGATCTACAAAGCATTCACAATGCTGCCCCGAACTACATAAACTGACCTGATACCCAAATACTACCCTACCCGTGCCCTCCGCTCCTCACAGGACCTCCTACTTTCTAGCTCCCTGGTCTCCTCCTCCCACGCCCGATTGAAGGACTTCTCCAGGACTTCCCCCATCCTCTGGAACTCCCTACCCCAATCCATCAGACTCTCACCTACCCTCCTCACCTTCAGGCGCACCCTGAAAACCAGCTAACACCTGGAACTGATGATACTGGTGTATTTAAGGGATGGCCAGACCTGCAGACTTGGCCTTGGTGTTGTGTTTGTCCTGGGCCCTGTATCTGTCCTGCATCCTGTTTCTGTTCCTTTGCTGACCCTGCCTGATCTGAACCGCTGCTGACTTCTCCTGCTCTGATCCCGGCTCGCTCCTGACCATCCCTCTGCCTGACCCTCTGTACCACGCTGCTTGCTACCTGTTCTGATCCCTGGCTTGTGACCCTGACCATCCCTCTGCCTGACCCTCTGTACTACGCTGCTAGCTACCTGCAGAACCTGGCCTGTGACCCCGACCCATCTCCGCTTGCTCCCCCTGTACCTACCTGCCCTATTGATATTGACCCGGCCTGCCTGACGACGCTTGCTTGTATGTACTGTTATCTGTGGGTGGTTGGTTTGGTTTGTTTGCACTGTATTATGTTTTAGTATTGCACTGCGTTTATGTTTGTATTGTTAGTGTTAATAAATTATATTGTTTATCACATATCTGAAGTCTGCGTTTCCCTGCGTCAGTCACACACCTCTGGTCATACCCGGGAGCCCTGACACACCCACAGGTGTTCCATCTATGGTTAAACCACATTTACATTTACATTATGGGTAAACCACATAAGTACAGCAACCCCAGAACTGGTTATGTATTCTGATATAACTCCAGGACCTCCAGTCCCTGGACCACACGTCAAACCAGAAGAACATCACTGCCGCTGAGCCATCACTCCCTGAAACATTTCTCGCCCATCACTCTACAAGCTTGGGGCCTGTCCAGCGATGTTGACTGAGAGCCCCCTCTGAACCGACCACCAGGAACTGTTTCACCATGCACGCAAAATCCGTCCAACAATCCCCTCTTCGATAGTTGTCCTTATCTGAAGACTTCCCCTCACCTCCTGTTCTCCTGATAACTCAAGTTTTTGGACTTTCACATCATTTCGGTCCCGGAGACAATGGTGACCAGGACAAATGGAAGGTGAACCTCCCCTATGAGGATACGGACAACAATAAATACCTCAAAGCTATTCTAATTCTTCCACACGCCATCCAAAAGTAAAGGGAAAAAAGTTTTGGCTTCAGATACAACCAACCAATAAAAAAAAAATGCATAATACATGGAGTTGAGTTTTAAAGGAATTTGTTGGAGAACCAACCTCTCCGACACGAACAACAAAGGATGTTTCAGCCATGAAGGGGTTAATAAACATTTCCTATATCTCTACCTCTTTTAATATATATTTTTGGGTTCAGTTGTGTCTGTTGTTGGTGGTAGAAGATGACACAACTGGGGATAATTGGGTGTCAATATAAAACAATATCATATTACCTCCTCCACTGCCAGTTCCAGCAATGTCTCCTCTCCACCTCGTACCTCTGCCTCTTTCACCCGAAACTTCCTGTCTTACTTGACATCACTTCCTTTTTATACCTGGCAGGACTTCCTGCCTGCTTTCCATAGAGACTTTCTGTCTCCAAATAAGTGAGAGCGCCACCTTGTAGATCTTAGAAGAACTGCAGCTCCGAGAAACGTCTCGTAGGGTGAACCCGGCCTTGCACTGTGCGTGTATGTACTGCGTATCCTCATAGATGGGGTCATCTCCACTCCCACCAAGAGGGGAATATAAAAAACAGCTTGGGGTTTGGGTTGAATGTGATTGCAACTCAAACTCAAGTCGTTCACCGTTTGTGAAAATGGAGGACTAATGCCTAATACTGTTGTAGCAACCGATTGCTAATAATGCACTTCCTAGCTATTGATCTGTGGTTAGGTGGCTTTAGAAGTGACAGTAATGGAGGTCTGATATGTGCCAACCCCCTGACTATAAAAGTCAAGGTTCCCAGCAGTCGTTTTTCCAGTGGTTGTCAACTGATGAGCTAAAGGGGGCCTCAAATGCAGCTCCTGATATCACCAAAGGGCCACACGTAATGTTCAATATATGTAGTGCTTGGGAGGACTGTCAGAAACCTTCGGACCTAATGGATAAAATGAGGGTCGGAAAGTGTGGACAGGATACATTTTTGGCTGGGGATATGCTGTAGAGCAGTGTTTCTCAACCTTTTTTCAGTCAAGGAACCCTTTAAAATTATGGACAGTTCCGAGGCACCCTTTAAAATTATGGACAGTCTTGAAGCACCCTTTAAAATTATGGACAGTCCTGAGGCATCATTTAAAATTATGGACAGTCTTGAGGCACCCTTTAAAATTATGGATAGTCTTGAGGCACCCTTTAAAATTATGGACAGTCTTGATGCACCCTTTAAAATTATGAACAGTCTTGAGGCACCCTTTAAAATTACGGACAGTCTTGAGGTACCCTTTAAAATTATGAACAGTCTTGAGGCACCCTTTAAAATTACGGACAGTCTTGAGGTACCCTTTTAAAATTATGGACAGTCTTGAGGCACCCTTTAAAATTATGGACAGTGTTGAGGCACTCCATTCTACAATGTGAAAAAACTATTCTAACATCCACACATGTAGGACACCCAACGTTAATTCTTACAAAGCAAATACACTTTTGCACACTGGTACTGACTAGTATGCCAGTGTTTCTCTTCTCCCTCACTGAGCTAATGTGACCCCAGCACTGATGGAGATGGGCAGGGGAGGGTCAAACTAGGATATTGTGCAGGCAGCTGGCATCCTCCTTATCAAGGTCGTAATGGTGCAGAATAAAAACCTGGGGCTTTGTGTAGCTAAAAGGCAGGCTTGATCCACCTGTTGGCTGGTATACAAGTTACAAGAGGCTAGTAGAGATCAATGATATTACCCTAATCAATGTTCCCACTACAGACTCCTGAGGTCTGAGGGCCGAGTATCACAAACCAAAGGGCCGTAGGTTGGGCACCAGGGCTTTTGTCAGGATGAGTGGAGACTTGGGGTAGATAGTGTCATTTGTCACCTCCATTCCTTCTAAGCTTGCATAAAGAACGATCCTATTCTGCTTGCTGCTTTGTAGCTCCTTGGGAACTGCTCCTACCTGCTTGGATTTCTTTAATATGAGGCCTTATCTCGTTTGGGCCTAGTTTTATTTCTGCAATGCAGTACATGTCTCTATGTAGATACACAGAGGACAGTCCTGCTGTGATGGGTCACGTTAGTCCTATGGCCTCTACTGCTGCTAGTTATCGACTCTCTCTGAAGAGGCAGTCACCTGTATCTAGCATCTTGAGACCCTTAATACTAACCCTAGCCCTACCCTCACCCTAGCCCTTATTGTCTCTGAAGTCCTATACAATTCATTACAGCTTCTCACAGACATCTTCAAGACCATTAATATCCACCAAGGATGTTGTATTGGTTTGTTCATATTGGATGTGGATGGACACAATGGTTCTAAGCATACTTTGGTGCATCCTAGTACACGCAGTGCTTTTATCAGTTGTCTACCTGTGGTTCCTATTTCTATCTCTGACTGATTCAGAAAACTTATAGCCTTCTCCTGAAGAGCCTGTCTGACCATACTTTGAGGGAAGTTATTGATACTCTAATTGATGCAGTGTGCTCCATCCTTCATTTAGGAAGCCAGACTGCTGTTTAGGTTTCCAGTAGAAAGTTGTTGAAGTTTCCTTTCTTCAGCATTACATCTTTTGCTTCTTCTTGGTGCTTAGGCCAACTGGGTTTCTCCTTGTAAGCCCCTTTTCTTTCCTGAACTGATACTTCTAAACTTTGATGCAACCTTCTGTTGATGCCTTCAAACCTTGTAGTATCTTACTTTCAATATATTTTATGTTCCTAAGTCCAAATGGAACTCTTTCCAATGAGTTCCAATCCCATTTAATTTAGCGACTCGCCATTTTTGCTTTGTTTCTCATTTTTGGGTTGTTTTAACTTTTCTGCGGCTTTCTGCACTCAAGCGCTATCCCTTTCTTTGAGAGCCTCATTATCTTCTCTTATCTAAAACAAACTGTTTATGAATAGAACGGTCATGCATGCTTGGGATCATGGACCTTCCCTGCAGCCTGCATGCTGGTGTGCTCATACAGTGGACCCGTGCAGGCTACAGCGGACCTGGCATAGGGAAGCACAGAGACAAGGATCTTGGAAAACACAGGCTCACTGGAATAGCAGGAGTATAATGCAGCACTGGGGTACGGGTCGTACATGCGGGCAGGATTCAGAATACTAGTAAGAGGCACTTACAGCACTGGGGTGCTGGGCTCAAAGGTAGACCGGTGTACAGGAGTATTGGACAGCAGTGGGATGCTGACCATACAGGAACACAGGTTAACGTTAGAAGTGCACAGGGGTCCCAGGGAATGCAGCTACACAGGATACAGTGGATATATATGCGAAGAGTCGAGGACAGAAAGGATACCTATTAGCACTGGTTGGGGAGAACCCAGCCTACCGGCACTTACAGCACAGGTGAGGGCCAAGACGCAGAGTCTAAGGAGCCACCTTGTCATCCCAAAATCTGGAGATGGGCTGTGCTGCTGGGGATTCCCAGGTTGCAGTTCTCAGACTGAAAATTCACCTACTGGGAGCCAAGGGCTGATAAGCAGATAAACATAAGATTCCTAGTAACCCCCAGTGCTTCCTGAGAATACTCCTAATGTCCCTTGTGTTTCCTAGTGGAGAAGGTTTCTGGTATCTTGAGGGCTTCTTGAGAAGAATCCCAGTGTCCCTTGTATTTCCTAAGGAAAAAGATTCCTAAAAAACCCCCAGTGCTTCTCGAGAAGATTGCTAGTGTCCTCCTTGTTTCCTAAAGGAGAAGGTTCCTAGTAACCTCCCCCCCCCCCCCCCCACCCCACACCCCCCCCCCCCCCCCCCCCCCCCCCGCCCGGCTTCTTGAGAAAATTTCTAGGGTCCCTTGTGTTTCCAAGTGGAGAAGATGCCTAAAAAACTCTAGTGCTTCCTGAGAAGATTCCTAGTGCCCCCCTTGTTTCCTAAAGGATAAGGTTCCTAGTAACACCCCCCCCCCCAGGCTTCCTGGGAGGATTCCTAGTGTCACTTGTGTTTCCTAGTGGATAAGATTCCTCGTAACCCCAGTGCTTCATGAGAATACTCCTAATGTCCCTTGTGTTTTCTAGTGGAGAAGGTTTCTGGTATCTTGAGGGCTTCTTGAGAAGAATCCTAGTGTCCCTTGTATTTCCTAAGGAAAAAGATTCCTAAAAAAAAAAAACCCAGTGCTTCCCGAGAAGATTCCTAGTGCCCTCCTTGTTTCCTAAAGGAGAAGGTTCCCGGTACCCCCCCCCCTCCCCCAAGCTTCCTGAGATAATTCCTAGTGTTTCTTGTGTTTCCTAGTGGAGAAGGTTCCTAGTAACCCCCAGCACTTCATGAGCAGGTTCCTAGTGTCCCTTGTGTTTCCTAAGGGAGAAGATTCTTAGTAACCTTCATTGCTTCGTGAGAATATTCCTAATGTTCCTTGTGTTTCCTAGTGGAGAAGGTTTCTAGTAACCCCAAGGGCTTCTTGAAAAGATTCCTAGTGTACCTTGTGTTCCTAAGTGAAGAAGATTCCTAGTAACCCCCAGTGCTTCCTGAGAAGTTTCTTAGTGCCCCTTGTGTTTACTAGTGGAAAAGGTTCCTGTAACTCCCAGTGCTTTCAGAAAAGATTCCTATATCCCCCTTGTTTTCTAGTAGAGAAGATTCCTAGTGACACCGGTGCCTTCCTAATGTCCCTTGTGTTTCCTAGTGAAGAAAGTTTCTGGTAACCCTCAGGGCTTCCTGTGAAGTTTCCTAGTTTTCCGTGTCTTAACTAGTGTAGAAGACGCCTGATAACTCCTGGTGCTTACTGAGAAGATTCCTAGTGGTCCCCAGTGCTTCCTGAGAAGATTCTCCAAGACTCTTAGTGACTTAAAGATTCCTAGAGTTTTGTACCAGACCACCCTTGTTTCTAATGATTGTTCCGAAGTGTCTCCCAGTGTGATCCCTATACCCCCAGTGATCCTAGTGTCTTCCAGCCTGTCTTCAGTGATCCTCTTTATCCTGGCACCTCTTGTATTCTCTGTGCATTCCAATGTTCCTTGTGTACCTTTGAGTGCCAGCTTTATGCATGTCTGTGAACCCCACTGACTTTCAGGCTGTCTTTCATTAGCTTCACTCATGTCTGCAGTCTACTTCACTGTCTCCCTGCGTATTCTTAGTTTGTTTCCTGCTCTGTGTCTCCATGCATTTCTGACTGCTCCTAGTCGATTCCTGCTTGTCTCTGGCGTTGCTACTCTCTCTTAGTTGTCCTGTAGGTCTCTGTGCACTACTACCCATTCCCAGTGTCTGTGTGTTTCCATGCACGCCTGTCTACTTGGGCTGTACTCCCTACTGTCCTGTGATCCCTGAACCTCAGCGCTGCAAGGGACTCTTGCCTGCTTTTCAGCCCTTAGTTCTCAGGAGTTGCCTACCTGGTTGAGTCCAAGAACTGCAACCTGGGGATCATCTACAGTGCAAGACACCTCCAACATCAGGAGCTCTGAAGAAGATAAGGTGGTTCCTTAGAGTTTGTGCCTGGCAGGCAGGCTGGGTTTTCACTTATCAGTGTCAACAGATATTCTTCTTCTCCTTGACTCCTCTTGTACCCCAACTGTATCCTGTGTACCTGCATTCCCTGGACCCCCTGTGCACCTCCGTGTTCCTCATACATGTCAGTAACCCCTATGTTCCTGTAAGCTCAGTATCCCACTGCTGTAAGATACTTCTGACTCCATGTGAGCCCTGCACCTTGGTGCAGTAAGCGTGTCTAGGACGGTGTTTCTCAACCTTTTTTCAGTCAACACACAATTTAAAATTATGGACAGTCTTGAGGCACCCTTTAAAAACTATGGACATTCTTGAGGCACCCTGTAAAATTATGGACAGTCTTGAGGCACCCTTTAAAATCACCGCCCATGAGATTGCCAATCACTTCAAAAACAAGATTGACACAATTTGCAGGGACATCGCCGCTGCTCAGACTTCCACCCCACCTATCACCTCTCACACGGTAACCCTCTCAACACCCCTCTCCCTTGGCCTCACCACTGTCCAGACCTCCACCCCACCTAACATCCCTCACACTGAAGCCCCCTCAACACTCCACTCCTTCGACCTTACTACCACTGAGGAGGTCACTAAGGTCTTCTCTGACGCCCGCCTCACCTCCTGCCCCCTCGACCCTGTCACCTCACAACTCCTACGATCACCCTCCTCCTCCATCCTATGCTCCCTCACCCACATCTTTATTCTCTCGCTCTCTTCTGGCGCATTCCCGTCCCCTCTGAAGCACGCGCACATCACTCCTGTACTTAAAAAGCCCTCCCTGGACCCCACCGACCCGAACAACCTCAGACCCATCTCCCTGCTGCCATTTAGATCCAAACTCCTTGAGCGCTTAGTCTATACTCGCTTAAGCTCCCACCTCAACGACAACAACCTCCTTGACCCCCTACAGTCCGGCTTCCGTCCCCTACACTCCACCGAAACTGCCTTACTCAAACTCACCAACGACCTGCTAACCACCAAAGCTAATGGCCACTATTCAGTGCTCCTACTCCTTGACCTCTCCGCGGCTTTTGACACAGTCGACCACCCCCTCCTACACTCCCTTGGCCTCAGAGACTTCGCTCTCTCCTGGTTCTCATCCTACCTATCACAACGCTCCTTCAGCAATACCTATAACTCTACCACCTCCCCCTCACTCCCCCTCTCTGTTGGGGTCCCTCAAGGCTCTGTCCTTGGGTCCCTTCTCTTCTCCATCTACACCTCCTCCCTTGGCCAACTGATACACTCTCACGGCTTCAACTACCACCTCTATGCCGACGACACGCAAATCTATCTCTCGACCCCTCGCCTCACCCCTTCAGTCTCTGCCCAAATCACAAGCATACTGAACGACATATCAGATTGGATGTTGCTCCACTTCCTCAAACTGAACCTCTCCAAAACCAAGCTCCTAGTCTTCCCCCCAGCCCGCGCACCCCCCCCCCCCCACTGACTTCTCCATCATGTCCAACAATGCCACCATCAGTCCCACCCCACAAGCCAGAGTACTTGGTGTCATTCTTGACTCCAATCTATCCTTCCAGCCCCAAGTCCAATCGCTAACAAACTCATGCAGACTCCACCTCTGCAACATCTCCGAAATCCGCATGTTCCTAATCCCAGAAACCACTAAGCAACTCATCCACTCCCTCATATCACGACTCGATTACTGCAACTCCCTCCTCACCGGCCTGCCTCACCACAGGCTATCCCCACTTCAGTCGATCCTGAATACGGCAGCCAGACTCATCCACCTTACCAACCACTCCATTTCCGCCACCCCCCTCTGCCAATCCCTCCACTGGCTTCCAATTGCCCAACGGATCAAATTAAAAATGCTAACACTGACGTACAAAGCTGTCCATAACTCTGCCCAAAACTACATCACCGACCTAATATCCAAATACCACCGAAAACGCACTCTCCGCTCCTCACAAGACCTCCTTCTCTCTAGCTCCCTGGTCTCCTCCTCCCATGCCCGCCTCCAGGACTTCTCCAGGGCATCACCCATCCTCTGGAACTCCCTACCCCAATCCATCAGACTATCACCTACTCTCCTCTCCTTTAGGCGCACCCTGAAAACCCACCTCTTCAGGGAAGCCTACCCCGCCCTCTGCTAATTGCTGATCTCCTCCACTCTTCCTACCACTCCATCCCCCACAGCTATCTCCTCCTGTGCCACCATCCCCTCCCTCCTAGATTGTGAGCTCCAAGGAGCGGGGCCCTCGAACCCCTCGTGTATTGCATTGTATTGTTATTGTACTGTCTCATGTATTGTCTCCCACTGTAATGTACAGCGCTGAGCGAACTGTTGGCCCTATATAAATACCGTATAATAATAAAAAATAATATAATAATTACGGACAGTCTTGAGGCACCCTTTAAAATGACGGACAGTCTTGAGGCACCCTTTAAAATGACGGACAGTCTTGAGGAACCCTTTAAAGTTATGGACAGTCTTGAGGCACCCTTTAAAATCACGGAAAGTCTTGAGGCACCCTTTAAAATGACGGATAGTCTTGAGGCACCCTTTAAAATCACGGGCAGTCCTGAGGCACCCTTTAAAATTACGGACAGTCTTGAGGCACTTGTTAAAATTACGGACATTCTTGAGGCACCCTTTAGAATAATGGACAGTCCCGAGGCACCCTTTAAAATTATGGACAGTCCCGAGGCACCCTTTAAAATCACAGACAGTCCCGAGGCACCCTTTAAAATTATGGACAGTCTTGAGGCACCCTTTAAAATTACGGACAGTCTTGAGGCACCCTTTAAAATTACGGACAGTCTTGAGGCACCCTTTAAAATTACGGACAGTCTTGAGGCACCCTTTAAAATTACGGACAGTCTTGAGGAACCCTTTAAAATGATGGACAGTCTTGAGGCACCCTTTAAAATCACGGACAGTCTTGAGGCACCCTTTAAAATGATGGACAGTCTTGAGGCACCCTTTAAAATCACGGGCAGTCCTGAGGCACCCTTTAAAATTACGGACAATCTTGAGGCATTTGTTAAAATTACGGACATTCTTGAGGCACCCTTTAGACTAATGGACAGTCCCGAGGCACCCTTTAAAATTATGGACAGTCCCCCGAGGCACCCTTTAAAATCATGGACAGTCTTGAAGCACCCTTTAAAATCATGGACAGTCTTGAAGCACCCTTTAAAATTATGGACAGTCTTGAGGCACCCTTTAAAATTACGGACAGTCTTGAGGCACCCTTTAAAATTATGGACAGTCCCGAGGCACCCTTTAAAATTATGGACAGTCTTGAGGCACCCTTTAAAATTAAGGACAGTCTTGAGGCAACCTTTAACCACTTTCAGTCCGGACACTTTTACCCCCTTCCTGACCAGGGCAATTTTCAGCACTATCACACTTTGAATGACAATTGCGCAGTCATGCAACACTGTACCATTTTTTTGAGACAGATAAAACTTTATTTTGGTGGTATTTATTTTTTTTGCTATGTAAATGAAAATGTCCAAAAATTTTTTTAAAAAGTGTTTTTCTTATAAAATTTTGCAAATAAATAATATTTCATCATAAATCTTGGCCAAAATTTATTCCGTTATCTTTTTAGTAAAAAAAAAAAATAAGCCAAATTAGTTTATAACCAAAATTTATAATTTTTAAACATTTGTTTTACATTTTTATTTTTTTTTATATTATTATTTATTTTATTTTTTTTTTTTTTACATACTGTTACCCTAGCAGTAGTGTCACCATGGTGACACTGTACTACTTTTGGGGGGTGATGTAGATTTTAACACTGATTGCTTTTACACCCGTATAGGATGTAAAAGCAATAATTTCTCTTTTCTCTCTGTCTGCATTCTTGCAGCCATTGAGAACTACTGAGTGAGCTGTGATTGGTCACAGCTTGTCACATGGTACAAGGCTGTTGTGAATAGCTCTGTACCATCTGACCTCGGTGATCATACACAGATTTAACACGTAGTAAGCAATGATGGCAGTAAGCAAAATATGGACAGTGTTGAGGCACCCCACTCTAAAATGTGAAAAACTATTCTAATCATTTTATATAATTCAGCAACACACACACACGTAGGACACCCAATATTAGAGGCGATTTATTCTTCCGAAGCAAATACACGTTTGCAAGCTGGTACTGACTAATATTCCATTGTTTCTCCTCTCCCTCGGTTTTTCTCCATCACTGAGCTAACATGACCCCAGTGCTGATGGAGAGGGGCAGGGGAAGGTCAAGCTAGGAAGCTGTGCAGGCAGCTGACATCTTCCTTATCAACTGATGATGTCATTGGTTGTCAGGATGCCGGTGGCTAGAAGGTCGTAATGGTGTACAATGAAAACCTGCGGCTTTGTGTAACTAGAAGGCCGGCTTTTCCCACCCGCTGGCTTGTTAACAAGTTTTTGGCTATTTTTAGACATTTTGCCGAGGCACACCTGAAGAAACCTCAAGGCACCCATGAAGAACCCTCACGGCACCCCTGAAGAAACCTCAAGGCACCCATGAAGAAACCTCAACGCACCCATGAAGAAACCTCAATGCACCCATGAAGAAACCTCAAGGCACCCCTGAAGAAACCTCAAGGCACCCCTGAAGAAACCTTAAGCACCCCTAAAGAAACCTCAAGGCACCCATGAAGAAACCTCAAGGCACCCATGAAGAAACCTCAAGGCACCCCTGAAGAAACCTCAAGGCACTCATGAAGAAACCTCAAGGCACCTCTGAAGAAACCTCAAGGCACGCATGAAGAAACCTCAAGGCACCCATGAAGAACCCTCAAGGCACCCATGAAGAACCCTCAAGGCACCCATGAAGAAACCTCAAGGCATCCATGAAGAACCCTCAAGGCACCCATGAAGAAACCTCAATGCACCCATGAAGAAACCTCAAGGCACCCCTGAAGAAACCTCAAGGCACCCATGAAGAAACCTTAAGCACCCCTAAAGAAACCTCAAGGCACCCATGAAGAAACCTCAAGGCACCCATGAAGAAACCTCAAGGCACACCTGAAGAACCTCAAGGCACCCCTGAAGAAACCTCAAGGCACCCATGAAGAAACCTCAAGGCACCCCTGAAGAAACCTCAAGGCACTCATGAAGAAACCTCAAGGCACCTCTGAAGAAACCTCAAGGCACCCCTGAAGAAACCTCAAGGCACCCATGAAGAACCCTCAAGGCACCCATGAAGAAACCTCAAGGCACCCTTGAATAAACCTCAAGGCACCCCTGAAGAAACCTCAAGGCACCCCTGAAGAAACCTCAAGGCACCCCTAAAGAAACCTCAAGGCACCCAGAAGCCTCAAGGCACTCATGAAGAAACCTCAAGGCACCTCTGAAGAAACCTCAAGGCACCATGAAGAAACCTCAAGGCACTCATGAAGTGATCATTCTCAGATTTAACACGTAGTAAGCAATGATGGCAGAAGTGACATCTTGCTTACTACTGTGCATGTGATCACTGATTGGCCAATAAAAGATCACATGATTGGGACCTCGTACAGAGGTCCCGTCCGATGATCGGTGTTTCACCGTGTCCGGAGGACACAGCGGGCACCGAATCACGGTGCTGCGCGCTCCCGGGGAGCACGCACAAGCAGGGTGCGGGGAGGCCGTTTATAAAAGGCCACCCGACCCCGCAGTGCCACCGTCCGGCCGTTTATATACAACGGCCGGTCGGGAAGTGGTTTCAATTACGGACAGTCTTGAGGCACCCTTTAAAATTACGGGCAGTCTTGAGGCACCCTTTAAAATTATGGACAGTCTTGAGGCACCCTTTAAAATTATGGACAGTCCCGAGGCAACCTTTAAAATTATGGACAGTGTTGAGGCACCCCACTCTAAAATGTGTGAAAAAACTATTCTAATCATTTTATATAATTCAGCAACACACACACACGTAGGACACCCAATATTAGAGGTGATTTATTCTTCCGAAGCAAATACACGTTTGCAAGCTGGTACTGACTAATATTGCAATGTTTCTCCTCTCCCTCGGTTTTTCTCCATCACTGAGCTAACATGACCCCAGTGCTGATGGAGAGGGGCAGGGGAAGGTCAAGCTAGGAAGCTGTGCAGGCAGCTGACAACATCTTCCTTATCAACTGATGATGTCATTGGTTGTCAGGATGCCGGTGGCTAGAAGGTCGTAATGGTGTACAATGAAAACCTGCGGCTTTGTGTAACTAGAAGGCCGGCTTTTCCCACCCGCTGGCTTGTTAACAAGTTTTTGGCTATTTTTAGACATTTTGCCGAGGGCACACCTGAAGAAACCTCAAGGCACCCATGAAGAACCCTCACGGCACCCCTGAAGAAACCTCAAGGCACCCATGAAGAACCCTCAAGGCACCCATGAAGAAACCTCAATGCACCCATGAAGAAACCTCAAGGCACCCCTGAAGAAACCTCAAGGCACCCATGAAGAAACCTTAAAGCACCCCTAAAGAAACCTCAAGGCACCCATGAAGAAACCTCAAGGCACCCATGAAGAAACCTCAAGGCACACCTGAAGAACCCTCAAGGCACCCCTGAAGAAAACTCAAGGCACCCATGAAGAAACCTCAAGGCACCCCTGAAGAAACCTCAAGGCACCCATGAAGAAACCTTAAGGCACCTCTGAAGAAACCTCAAGGCACGCATGAAGAAACCTCAAGGCACCCATGAAGAACCCTCAAGGCACCCATGAAGAACCCTCAAGGCACCCATGAAGAAACCTCAAGGCATCCATGAAGAACCCTCAAGGCACCCATGAAGAAACCTCAGGCACCCATGAAGAAACCTCAAGGCACCCATGAAGAAACCTCAAGGCACCCATGAAGGCACCCCTGAAGAAACCTCAAGGCACCCATGAAGAAACCTCAGAAACCTGAAGAACCCTAAAGGCACCCCTATAGAAACCTCAAGGCACCTCAAGGCCCCATGAAGAAACCTCAAGGCACTCATGAAGAAGAAAGCTCAAGGCACCTCTGAAGAAACCTCAAGGCACCCCTGAAGAAACCTCAAGGCACCCATGAAGAACCCTCAAGGCACCCATGAAGAAACCTCAAGGCACCCTTGAAGAAACCTCAAGGCACCCCTGAAGAAACCTCAAGGCACTCATGAAGAAACCTCAAGGCACCCCTGAAGAAACCTCAAGGCACTCATGAAGAAACCTCAAGGCACACCTGAAAAACCCTTAAGGCACCCCTGAAGAAACCTCAAGGCACCCATGAAGAAACCTCAAGGCACCCATGAAGAACCCTCAAGGCACCCATGAAGAAACCTCAAGGCACCCCTGAAGAAACCTCAAGGCACCCTTGAAGAAACCTCAAGGCACCCCTAAAGAAACCTCAAGGCACCCATGAAGAAACCTTAAGCACCCCTAAAGAAACCTCAAGGCACCCATGAAGAAACCTCAAGGCACTCATGAAAAAACCTCAAGGCACCTCTGAAGAAACCTCAAGGCACCCATGAAGAAACCTCAAGGCACTCATGAAGAAACCTCAAGGCACCCATGAAGAAACCTCAAGGCACCCATGAAGAAACCTCAAGGCACCTCTGAAGAAACCTCAAGGAACACCGCAAGAAACCTCAAGGCACCCTGAAGAAACCTCAAGGCACCCATGAAGAACCCTCAAGGCACCCATAAAGAAACCTCAAGGCACCCATGAAGAAACCTCAAGGCACCCATGAAGAAACCTCAAGGCACCCATGAAAAAACCTCAAGGCACCCCTGAAGAAACCTCAAGGCACCCATGAAGAAACCTCAAGGCACCCCAGGGTGCCTGGACACCCTGGTTGAGAAAAGCTGGTGTAGGACATGTGT